GAGGAGGCTGAGTGCTCACTCACAGGTGGAGTGCTTACTCACGGAGGAGTGCTCTCTCAAGGGCGAGAGTGCCCACTCAGGGAGGGAGTTCTCACAGGGGAAGCGCTCACGCACACGTGCTGCAGTGCTCWCTCACGGTAGGGATGCTCGCTCAMGGGGGCAGAGTGCTAACTCACGAGGAGGCTGAGTGCTCACTCACAGGTGGAGTGGTCAGTCATACAGTATGTGTTCAGTCATGTCAGGTAGGGCTCACACAAAGCGGAGTGCTCACTCAGAGGGGTGAGTTCTCACTCACACTCTCAGGGGGAGTGCTCACTGACAGGGGCAGTGTGCAAACTCATTTCGATTCTGAGTGCACACTCACTGGTGGAGTGCTCATGCAGGGGAGTTCTTACGTGCAGAGTGCTCACTCATGGGGATTGTTCTCACTCATACGGGGCATAGTGAGGGGAATTTTCACACTCACAGGGGACGTTTTGCCTCACAGGGTGAGTACTCACTCACAGGGGCAGAGTGCTAATTCTGGGGAGGTGTGCTCACTCATGGGTGGAATGCCCAGTCATATGGGGAGTGATCACTCGTGCATTACAAGTGCTCACTCACAGGGAGGACTTCTCACTCACAGATAGAATGCTCACTCATCTGGGGAACACTCACGTGGGTGCTGCTCATGCACAGGGGGAGTGCTCACTCATGGGTGTATTGCACACTCGCACAGACTGGCGTGCTCACTCCCGGGTGGGAGTTCTCTCGCACTCAACAGAGGTTGTGGCGTCTCCGTCTTTGGAGATCTTTAAAACCCGCTTGGACGCAGTCCTGTGCCACGTGCTCTGGGTGACCCTGTGTGTGCAGGGGGGTTGGACTAGATGACCTCTGAGGTCCCTTCTAACCTTAAGCATTTTGTGATTCTATGATTCTATGAAATAACAGGCTAGGTTTCATTTTGTGAACTCAGCATGTAATATCACTCCAAGATTTTAACATGAAAGAGACTGTAAATTCTAAGTAGCTGTTGGATTCTACTTTTGGAAAAAATCTGAATGAGTAAGAAGAAGTATTTAGGAGGTGAACATGTCATACTGCTTCTGCTAAATGGGGTAAGGGAACACCATATGTTCTAATTCTGTTTAAAAAGCTTGTAATAGTTTCTGAAATAAAAGAAATTCAACAGAGCTAGAACAAGTTTCTGCAAATTTTGCTGCCACAGAAAATTACCAGAGTGTTTATAGTATTAACTAACAGCATCAGGCAAGAATTCTTGTTCTCCAGCACAGGTTGGTCAAACAATTCACGGTCAAATTCTGCCATGCATAATTATGCAGTATTTGGATTAATTAGGAAGTATAGTACTTCTCAGCCCGGGCACAGGTAGCAAAAATATGACCCTAAGCATGATTAGGTGAGTAATTTCTTCTGCACAATAAATGTCTTTTGTAGACCTCTGTCCCACTAGTTCAAATCCACTGTGACTAGGAATGTCACTGTTCATTACAGCAATACTCTCTTACCTGATAAAATGGAGCAGATTTACTGTTGACTGCGTTCACTGTAAGGCTATATTTATTTATGGTTTCGTAGTCTGGAGAGGTCTTTATCCTAATATCCCCATTTATTTCATCGATTTCAAATATATTTTCTCCACCACCTGAGATACATTAAAAGAAGCATTACAAATTAATGCATCTTAGAAACATATAATTAGCTACAGTTCTAAATGAAATATTTACCTATGTCTTAAGCTAACGAAAATGCTCTTTTTTTTTTTTTTTTT